ACTTCGGTATCGACTATCAAGCTCAAACGGCGTCAATCAATCTGATCAACTTTCGGCCAAGAAGCAAAGTGATGAGACGCTTGAAGATATAAAGGCAATAACAGAGTTGGAACTCAATGGGGTTGTTTCACATAGATGTTTTTCTTTCTTTTACACAAATTGTATAGGTTCTATTTTTCGGAGGTGTTCTCTTACTAGAGCGTCAACCTCTTTGTACAAAAACTCCTATTACAGGCCAACATCAAAAATCAATACAAATCATTTTCACAAGAAACTTCAATCTGTTTTTCTTTTTTTTTTTTTTTGCAAGAACGTCCAATGACTTATTTTTTATATATGCATTTGAAAATGATTGCTGCTCATAAATATTTACATAAGAAACAAAAGACAATTACTCGTAATTCCAGAAACAGGGGAAAAAACAAGAAGTGCCAAACCCGACAGTTACTCCGCCCAGCAGGTACCGGGATAGAGCCAGCTTGGGAACATAATTATTGGTACATACACTCCCCACAGAGTAAAAGTATCCAATGGCATTTGATGTCAGCTTTCCCGAAACATGACATAACCACCCCAGCTGAGGTTCATAATCGCGGGCGAGTCAGCAAATTTCATCCCCCAAGCAGAGTTTATTTCTCCAGATACAGAGGCTCAATCCCTGACAGAGTTCATCACTTCAACTACAAAAATACATTTTCTAAGTTCGTTCCCAGCAGAGTTTATTCTCAAGCAGCATCTCTTCCCGACGGAATATTTACAAATCTCCAGCAACTATCAGGGATTTATTTTCCCAGACGCGAGCATACCCCGATAGCATTTCATGAACATACATCATGACATACGCATACATATTGTATACAGCATAATCTCATTTATTTTGAGAACATCATCTCATCCTGCATTTCATGCATCACATATAACTAACCCTGATATCTTTTCAGGAAAAGACGTTTAGCTTCAACAAATCCAGTAGTTATGCAAGTCACGTCTGCATACGACCAATGGAAACTCAGTTCCCGAAACCAAACGGGTCAACTAATCTACACTATCGCTTTGGAGTAACCCTAAGACCCAGGTTCCTTCTCACAGCCCCATTATCCAGGATTTCATATCGAAGAAACCCTACTATCCAGGTTCCTTCTCACAGCGCCTATTATCCATGCTTTCATATCGAAGTAACCCTACCATCCAGGTTCCTTCTTACAACCCTACTATCCAGGCTTTCATATCGAAGAAACCCTACAACCCGGGTTCCTTCTCACAACCCTACTATCAAGGCTTTCATATCGAAGAAACCCTATTATCCAGGTTCCTTCTCACAACGCCTACTATCCAGGCTATCATATCAAAGTAACCCTACCATCCAGGTTCCTTCTTACAGCCCTACTATCCAGGCTTTCATATCGAAGAAACCCTACTATCGAGGTTCCTTCTCACAGCGCCTACTATTCAGACTTTCATATCGAAGTAATCCTACCATCCAGGTTCCTTCTCACAGCCCTACTATCCAGGCTTTCATATCGAAGAAACCCTACGACCTAGGTTCCTTCTCACAACCCTACTATCCAGGCTTTCATATCGAAGAAACCCTACTATCCAAGTTTCTTCTCAAATCCCTACTATCCAGGCTTTCATATCAAAGAAACCCTACGACCCAGGTTCCTTCTCACAGCCCTATTATCCTGGCTTTCATATCGAAGTAAACCTACCATCCAGGTTCCTTCTCACAGCCCTACTATCCAGGCTTTCATATCGAAGAAACCCTACGATCCAGGTTCCTTCTCACAGCCCTACTATCCAAGCTTTCATATCGAAGAAACACTATGACCCAAGTTCCTTCTCACAGCCCTACTATCCAAGCTTTCATATCGAAGAAACCCTACAACCCAGGTTCCTTCTCAAGCCCTACTATCCAGGCTTTCATTTCGAAGTAACCCTACTATCCAGGTTCCTTCTTACAGCCCTACTATCCAGGCTTTCATTTCGAAGTAGCCCTACTCATTTCTGACTTTTTGAAATTTTTCTAGAATTTTGTCATGACTTCTATTATTTTTGATATTTTTTCCACTTATTTGAGTGATTTTAATTAGTTTTAAAATACTTTTTCTATTTTAAAAAATTACAAAAATATTTATTAAAATATTTGAGGTCATTTCTGATTTTTCTATGGTCTCTTTTAATTTTTCTTTAATACTTTGAATATAGTTTTCTATTTTACCTTTTATTTTCATTTTAAAAACAATTTAAAAGTTTTTTTTCTTTTTTTATTTTATTCATTAAATGCAATTTATTTTTTTAATATATTATGGCTATGTGTTTGATTGATCATGAACTTCAGTAACATTATTGGATCTTGAGTATTGAGTTTAACTCCACTAAAATGGATGAATGATTTTAATGATAGTTTGATTAAATTTTTTTGATTCAAATATATCCTCTCCCTCTTCATCTTATCCCCTTCTCTTTTGTGCTACATGTTGTTAGAGTATGATTTACATATTATCACTCCAAACATATGTCACATAGATTGCTATTGACCGGCCTCAAAATAGGTGTGACTTCTATATAAGTCCACTTACGATTGCTTAACATAGCGCTAAATTTTGTCCCGATTCGAGAAATGATCATTCATGGCCTAAACATATAATTAGTTTGAAATCTTTGATCCAATAACCTTGAGGTTCATTGTTATGAGGCTTTCGTCTTATCAATCCTCTAATAAACTTTCATAAGATTTGGTCTAAGTAAATCATTTAAACATCATTGATCATTTATTGTTGTCTTGAGAATTTTAAATGAATGATATACTTGACAAAAAGAAAACGAAACTGGTTGTTGAGAGGCTTTGGTTTTATCAATCTTCTAATGAGTTTTCAAATGCAAGATTCAAGATAGTCATTCAACTAACCTCTAATTTCTAACTCATTAACAATTTACTTTTAATTTTATGCTTTTACTTTATGTTTTTTACTTTAAGCACATTTATTTTAGCATTTACATTTCATATTATTTTCATCTTTGCTCACTTGAGCATTTATCTTTATGTAATTTTTTTATTTTGCTCATTGGAGCTTTTCATTTTCTTTTTCAAAATACCCAATAAACAACTTGAACAATAAAAAACTTTAATGTTACTTGGACTATTTGGTTACTATCCTTGGCATGATGGAGTTATTGGACTTCATGGACTTAAGACCTGGTGAATTCCTTTGCTATTTTGTCTGAAGTTCTTGGGGTTTACCTCGAGACATTGGGTTATTTGTTTTCTTTGTGTGCAGGTTATTCTGATTATATGCTTTGTCTATGATTGAGAATTCATCTGAATATAGCCGTTACTCTGCCCAATTTTTGTGAAGACCTAATGCATTTGAAGCCTGGTTTTCTTAAGAGGTTTACTATCTTTTCTTGTTTGGTTTCAATCCAAAGAATGAGAATTCTACATTGACTCATTATGTCAAGTATTGGCTTCTTGTTGGTTAGACGGTTCTTTTCTCTAGCTTTTACCTTATGCTTTAGGATAGTCCCTTAATCTCCTCTCATCTTCTTTAATTTCAAAAATATCCTCCCTCATTTTGACAACTCTTCTTGTTTTTAAACTTGAACCGCTTTCATAATAAACTTGGACTTAGATCCATGCATTTTCAAAAATACTTTCTTAATCAAACTTTAAACAATTTTAACAATACTTTGACCTTTTTGTGAGGAGACCAAAAGTCAATTAATCTCATTCAAACCATTTTTTTAATTGTTGGCTTTTTAAGATATGTAGTGAAGTGAGACATTTTACACTTGGGTGTTGAGCGAGGCTTTGTTGATTTTCAAATCCAAGCCATATCCTCCACTTTGAGATACGCAAATTCTCCTTTATTATAATCGTGGGTAGTAAATATGTTTTCCACTCGGATAAGACGATGATGCCTCGTCTTTTAAAATTAACCAAAACATTACTGTTTTAGAGTTTTTAAAGGTAAACTACGAGTATTGTGATCCCCTATTGCACATAAGGTAGTACGTAGGCACTAAAGATTCACAACCGCGGCGGGTGCAAAAATTGTAAAAAAATTATATTTCTTTTCTCATCTCCACCATCTATTTTTGTACAACGTTTATAGCCAAATATACACAGATTTTCAAAGAGGTTCCTGCGGAGCACTGTAAATGTTTAGGGTGTTAATACTTTCCCTTTGCATAATCAACCCCCAAACTTAGTTTCTCTCCCCTTTTGTGGGTTATTCGCTCTTTTCCCATTCCTTTGGAAAAAATAAAGCGTCGTGGCGATTTTTACTTGATCTGTGTGAGTCAAGTCAATCCAATGACTTAGTCTCAATATTTCTACCGCTACACCTACATCGTAGGACTTCAGATGCATAATCATGAAAGAGAGATAAACTTGAATGGTACCTGACGGTGAAGGTTCGTTTCCTCTTAAAAGTCGTGCAAGCAATGAGAAAACTCTACAGAAGTTGTTTCGCACACGTGATCAAACGAGTTAATGTCCAAGCATTCCACACCGCAAAAGTCGCATCAACATTCCATCACAAAGCTTACAAATCACATAAGCATTCGATGAAAGATAAATCCCTTTTTATCAAGTTTACGGGAATTTTTATGAAGAGAACTACCAACTAAAAATTCAAGGATCAAGATCAATATCTTCACATTTTTTGTCACATTTTTCATGTCAATTTGTCACTATGAAAGCTAAAAATCATGTAGAAGTTATAGAAAAAACTAAGTAAAAAAATTAAGCACAAAATATTAACAAGGATGCTAAGACAGTGGGATTCAAAGCTGAATACAATGGTGCAATTTGCTGAAAAGTGTTGGGCTTCGAATCTGAGCCCAATTGCAATCAGCTAACAACAGTTAAACAAAAGATAGGATGGTGATGGATCTTGGAGGGGTGTGGCATAGAAATTCCATGGATTGAAGTATATTCTGAGGCCCAATCCCACACATATTATTCAACACATTATTGTCGAGGATGAAATCGATGGAAAATGCTAAAAGCGGTAAAACTGTGTCGTTTTGAGCGCTATTATGACTCTTCAGATCCATTTGACTTATTTCACTTCCCTCTCACTTCACGCTTCTCACATTTTCCCAAAAAAATGTCGTCGTGCCAAAAATCGCACCGGCGGCGGCTTCCTCAAATCAACACGAGACAACATATTTCGACCTCAATCTCACTTCAGTTTAAACCCCTAAACATGGATCTAGCCTTAGATTTTGTTAATTCCTCCTCAATCAACGGGATCAAAGATCCAGAAAGCACAAACTCTACTACGTTAAGGACACACTCGAATTGGAGAAGTTTGATGCAATCAATGTTGATTTAGCATGGGATCAAAGCGAACACTGAAAGTATGCAAGCGCAACACGGAGATTTAACCTGAGAACAAAATTTGGCTTTAGCGGTGAATCAGATATCGCTCCTTCTATTCACTTACTCTTGTAGCTCTTCTCCATGCTTGTAATTCTTTCCCTTCTGTTTGTATTCTTCTAGACTCTTTTCTGTTTTTCGGTATGTCTGAGTTTGTTGTTGAGAGCGAGTACTGGTGAGGTTTTTAAGCTATGCGTTGTGTATTTTATTATTGTTGTGCGTCTTGATGTTGTTTTGGGTTGTGTTGATGCTGAGTGATGAAGCAGTAATGCTTTGGTGTATTGATTTTTAGAGAGTAGAGAGAATGATGCAGGGAGAGGTTTGGAGTGAGGATGAAGATGATGAAGATGAGAGGATGATGAGGATGAACATGAAGTTTTAGAATAAAGGTGAAAGTGATGCGTGTGAAAATCTGGGAAATGGTGAGAGAGCCTGATCTGAGATGACAAGAATCTATATATAGTTGATGCAATTTTGAGTCAGTTACAAGAGAGTCCTTTAGGGCCATTGGATTGTGAGAGTCAGTTAAGAATCAAAGGTGCAGATTGAATCTGAGAATGAGAAACAGTTATAGAGTTAGTTGAAGCTTATTAAGGTTAGTTTATGAATTTCTGTTATCACTTCTAATAGAGAGTTAGTTGAGTTTAGTTGTAGGTGGTTATGATGAGCTATCATAAGTTGTCAAGGAAATGTATTTTGATCCTTTCCTCTTACAGACTTGATTCCTTCTGATTTTTGTATTTTCTTATTTAATGTGTTGGCATAAATAGTTAGCTTTTGAATTGTTAAAGGAAGGATTGTTAAAGGTTAATTCTAATGTTGAACCTCTGGTAGCATTTTCTAACGTGCCTAATATGACTCGAGTCTAATTTCTGTTTTTCAGGGAAAGGTTGGTTAAATTGCGAAGCTAACTCGGATGAAAGTTGAGCTGGTAAGATGTGAATTCTATGAAGTTAATTGTTTTTAATTTCTACTTCTGGTTTTCTATTAGTGATTTTCAAGGTTTTATTAGCATAGCTTTAGGTTCAAGTGAATCGAGTTTGGACGGGATGAATTGAACTGTTACAAATCAATTTTTGTTTATGGATTGAACTTGTTTAAAGGATGAATTTGAGCGATTTATTTAGTATGGACATTGTGTATAATGAAATTATATGCCCTCTTATGTTCAATGTAATCATGAGCCTTTGCAACCAACCTCCTTTTAATCTTGTTTAGTCCTTGCTTGAATTGATATTTTGATAATTCCAATGAAACATGACGTATGGACTTTGACTCATAATATATGCTCTATAACTTGCAGCTTGTATCATCTCCCTTAAAGAAACTCAAACGAACAAACCTCCAATTCTTGCAAGCTTCATGTAACTTTGATGCAACCTGAACACATTAGGAAATTTGAACGAATTTAATCCAATGAATCCCAAATCAATCCTCCTAATCTCAACTGAACCAAACTTTCATAATAAGCAACAAAAATTTCTTAAAAAGAAATCACAACCTCATCTCTTATACCATATAATAATGCCTTGGAGAAGATAGGAGTTGAAACATATAAGAATAACTTTTTATGTAATCCTAAGGACGTTAGTTGATGAATTACGAAACCCAAACACCACAAATAAGAAAAGCCTAATCCTCCAGCCATAAATGCTCATGGAATAAAGAAGTGACTTGAGAAGTTGAGGAATACAATAACCCTGATTCAAAGCATTCTCGTTTGAATCTAAGTTCTTAATGAGAACATAGGAACTTGATGTTTTTTAAGGAACCTTGATGAAGATTAAAAACCTTGTAGCTCGATCAAACCCTAATTCTTCAATATCCTTGATCCCATGCTACATTTGACTAATGATGCATGATGTGTTAGATGACCTAATGTGAAGGTAATGCATATGAAGAGTGTGAGATGTATAAGTCAGATGATTTTATTAAATGGTGGGACAAATTTGGGGTATGACAGCTGCCCCTATTTAATCGTCTTAAACCTGGAAGTGTGATTGGCTGGAGTGTTTCAAATGTTCGAGTTAGAATATGATTAAGTATCAATGCTTAAAATTTGTTCTGAAAGGATAGTGTGAGCAGGTTATTTATTTTTGTGATATCTTCTGGAGAAAGAAATTTGTTTTTTTGGTGAAAGGTTTAAGGGTGAGCGAGTGTGGTTGAATGATGATAGCTTACATCGTGGTAATGGTTACAATATGATGCTCTCAAGGATATAGTTGTTATATGAAATGATGGTTAAAAGTATGAGTAAGATTGACGAAATGTGAGATTGATGACAGCATGATGACTCAACTAAGACATAAGATTAATGACAGCATAGTATCTATCATGTAGGATATGAAGACCCGAAATAAAAGACAAAGGGTGAGATCGATGACAGTGGGGTATCTATTATGTAGGATGTAACACCCCAAATTCTAGATTAGTTAATTAATTAATTTATCATAATTACATGAGTCAATGTGAAGTGTTGGATGTTTTGATGATTATATGTGAGCCTTTATGGTGATTTGTGAAATTATGACGAATATGAAGTGTAACATGATGATTGAGATAAACATGATGTTTGAATATGATGATTTGATGAATATGATGTGTGATGGGTTACTATGAGTAGTATAGAGGGAATTAGGTGATATTGAACAATTGTGTATTTTTAGAATAATTAAAGTAATTATTTTAATAAAGATAAACAGAATAATATATGATGTAGAGAGATTAAGGGCATTGTGTTCATTAGTGAATGATAAGTGAGGGAATGAAGGGAAGTTCATTATTAGGGGTCTAAGAGGGCATGTTTGACATAAGGAGAAGGTTTGGTATTTCATACGCTCATTATGTATGAAAGAATTTGAAAGAACACTGTGGAGAAAAGAGAGTTAGGGCACAAAGAGGCAAGGAGAGCATAGGAATCATGGTAGAGCACAAAGAGGAATTGATCTCTAGCAATAATATTAAGGTAATGGGAGTTTATAATTGTTATTATATTTAATTTAAGGTTTAGATAATGGTAGAATGCCTTAGGTTTTGGTAGATGAGGATTTGGTGAAGTTTGATGAGGAATAAATGAATTGTTAATGATTAATGACTTATAATTGGTGTATAATGAGTATAAAGTTATAGGATGATGATAGATGATGAAAAAGTGTTATTAGATGATGTTTTAGGACCTGTAATATGGTGAAATCGCAGAATTTAGGACTGGTTCTATGCAGGAAATTGCAACAGGAAAACCATGTTCACGCAGCATCGCTGGGCGACGTAGATAGTGTCGCCATGCGAAGACGTGTCGCCGGGAGAAATAGGTAGCGGAAAATGCAGAAAAGAGTGACGCTTTTGGAGTACGTCGCTCCAAGAGTCACCGGGAGATGGTGGTGGCGAAGGGAGCATCGCCAGGCGAAAGAGGTGAGTCGCCAGGCGATGATGTCTAGTTTTGAATAACCGTGTTGGATTTTCTTAAAAGTGTCGTAACTTGAGTTTTAGAGCTCGAATTAAAGTGTCGTTCGAAGCGTTGTATGGCTAACGCACTGAAATTTATTTATTTGGAGTGAAATGAAGAATAAGCAGTATATTCCCTATAATCTAGAATGAAGTTAGGTTCCCCATGTTGGATTATGAAGATGCTTCTTTATTAAGATGATTAGAAGATGAATAGGGGATGGTTAGGAGACATTATGATGATACCTTATATAACATGATGACATGAAGATATGTTGTGTGATATGATGATGTTTAGATATTATGATGACACAATGATGATATTAGGATGATGTTTTATTATGATGATGATTATATGATGTTATGATGATATGATGTTTTATTAAGATGATTATATGATAATATGATGTTATGCCAATGATATGTTGATTAAATGATGATATGATGTTATGATAATGATATGATTATGTAATCGTGGATGATGATGCTTGTTGACTAGTTGCGGTCATTTTTATTATGTTGTTGTGCATCATGCATTCATGGCATATGTTAGGATTTGGTCCAGTGTAGTTAGGACTTTGGTCTAACGAAGATGATAGGACGACTATCCAGTGAAGGCGTCAATCCCATAGTGTAGATTGGATGCAACAATGAAGTGCCCTAATTCAAAACAGGAATTTATCCTATGGTGGAGATCTTTGGAGATAGTAATGACTGAGTCATATGTGAAGTTTTGGTACCAGATGCATGAGTCTACGTTGTTGCATAACACTCTATGTGACATTGCATAATGATTTATTTGTGATGCTTGATGATACATTATGTATGATGATGTATGTTCGTGTATTGATGAAGTTGTGAAGATGTGAGTATAACATGAAGATATGGTGATGTGCGATGCCTTGCTTATGTGCATATTTACTATGTCTATTCCTTATGTCTTATATAATGATTATGATTTACTCACCATTTCTATTTGAATGTTGCCTCCACATGGGTGACGCACAGGTGATCAAGAATAGTCCGTAGAAGCATTAGAGGATAGCTTTGGAGTGATTTTATTTTCTTTTGTTGAATAAAGAGAGTCTTGCTCTAATATGTAACATCGGGGTTAGGATCGAATGGTTGGAACTTATGTTCTTTGTTTTGTTTTAAGATGTTGAGTCACCCTACGTGATACTTGAGATGTTTTATTTGATAAGTATTAATTATGAAGTATGACTAAATGTTATGAGGAAGATATGACTTATTAATTCCCCACTGCAAAGTTTGAAATGATTATATGATGAGACCAAAGTGTTATATGATTTAAAGTGTTTTTGCAACCTGTGTTATGGAGTAGGGTGTATTATTATGATGTTTATATGAAGATGTGACACCCTTGTTAGTGATATACTCTGATTTATTTATTAAAATAATTACAAATATTCTTTGGGGTTTAGTGGAGTTTTACATTAGTGATATCAGAGCAGGTCTGTCCGTCCGGCTAGATTATTGAGTCTGTAGTGTGTGATAGTGGAATACTATCGAGATAGTTTATAACCATTGTGACTCTTATTAATGAGAAACAGAGAACTGGCTGGAAGGAATGATGTTGCACTTTTTGTTGCTCTGCAGGCTATTGCTCAAGTTGTGCAACATCAGCCTAATGATGAATCCCGTGTTTTGGAGACGTTCAAGAGGAATCATCCACCTACTTTCAAGGTTAGGTTCGATCCTGATGGAGCACAAGTTTGGCTTAAGGAGATTGAGAGAATATTCCGAGTCATGGATTGTTAAGAGGCACAAAAAGTGTAGTTTGGTACGCATCAACTGGAAGAGGAAGCTAATGATTGGTGGGTTGGTACTCGTCAGAGACTGACATCACTAGGTGAAGTGATTACTTGGGATGTGGTCAACAAGGAATTTCTGAGGAAGTATTTTCCTAAGCGTGTGCACGGCAAGAAAGAGATTAAGTTTCTAGAGTTGAAGAAAGGGAGTTTGATTGTAACTGAGTATGCTTCAAAGTTTGTGGAACTAGAAAAGTTTTATCCACATTAAATTGAAGAAACTACTGAGTTCTCA